CTTAAAAATGGGAACGAAGCTGTATGGCGATGACGCTACCAGCGAGAAACGGTTGTCTCAGATGGCAAAGTCCAATGAGTCCACTTCAGCTATGCTAGGTGTCCGTATGTGTGGAATGCAGGTATTAAAATACATTTTTACTTCATTTTCAATACACATGAACGATATTCAAATTCTCCACCTTCCGCAAGACAATGGCTGTAGATATGATAGAATTTTCCTTTTGATCCGACTTTTCGGCCTCTGGCAAAGGAGTCATCATTAGAGATAGTTCACAAACACCGCTTAATTTTTTTATTTGAGTTCGTCTCTGTCTAGTCTGTGCGTATTTCAGAAATTTGCGGATAGTTTAGGCGTGTTTCTTCCAGCACTAGGACCATTATGCCTTTATGTCCAGATCATGGCATGTGTACGGATTGCTGTTAAGCTCAGAGGGGAGATGATCTCCTGATTACAATTTCTTGCTACTTTCATAGGCTGTTCTTTATTTCAGCAACTTTGCTTTGGAAAAGTTTTAAGTATAGCGATCTGAGCTACCTAATTTGATCAGAATTCTTAAGAAATTGCAAATTTTTTCCGTTCTTCTAGTCTGCTTTGTTAATAAGTTGATCGTCTGTATGATTCAAATGATCTTCCCATGATTATAATTAACACTTTTCAGTGTTTCTGCAGAATACCGTATGAAAAGGGTGTGGGGTTTAGGAAAAGTAACTTCTGTAGTTTCATAATTACAATGTAGAATATCATTTTGTGTTCAAAGGGTTGAAGACGTGAAAGTAAAACATTGAACAACGTTGAATAGTATGATCTGACAGTATTGTCGGTGTAAAGTTATTTGTTTCCATTTCTTGATATCACCAGCATCGTATTAACCCAGCATTCAGCTCTTCTCGATCATTATTCGTTGTTCTTCGATTGTAGCAAAAATCCTTCATAATAAAGGATTGTAACGTGCTTTCTTTGGGGTTTCTTGCAAACAGTGGTTACCAGTTTTTGCGTCTGAGTTTGTAATAGAATTATATTATTCCTTGACACGACTACTTGTTATGAAATTTTTCAAGGTTTCAGTTGTCAGAATCTCGTTAACCGAGCAGTTTAGCAATTATGACACACCTTCGCGGCCATCGTAGCCTCCCTGCACGATGCACTTCAGTATTTTTCACCCTGCCATGTAATTACATTCGTTAGTAGTTGCCCATTCTTTGCGATGGAGATATTGAGTCGGGGGTTACGGAGATTCCTTAAATCATACCTTTAGAAATAAAGACAAGTTTATCGACATTAAGAAGTTTCTTTCTAAATATTTGTCAGAAACTGAATTTTGTTTGCAGGTCATCGCCACTTTGCATTTCAGAGAGCTTCAGAAATGCTTCCCTCACAGATTCAGCAGCGTAACTCGTTGAGCAGACGTGGCATGATCGATACAGTTTCCACAGGCCGTTTTATCCTTCTGGTATTACACAGTAGCAGAAACAAGTGTCTGACAAAATTATGGATTCAGTTTCTTGCATGTAGGTATGTGGGAGGTTTCCAGTTTCGGATAAATGAGGTTTTTGTGAATATGCGGCTGACGAATTTTTCTAAGATCTAAGACACCGTCATAGCGGTAGAATTTGTATCCAGATAAAGTAGATTGCTCTCTTGTACAATTAAGTAAAAAATTTGATAGTTAGTTTGAGGTTGTTTTTTTATTTTATTTGCTGCTTAAAACTAAAACGATTAGATACAAGCTGTTTGGTACAGGTGTACGATGAAGTATCGGGTAAATATAACTGTTACGGCAAATACCTGGGGCGACGCTTGACTGTGGACGGGTTCAAGCAAGTAATTAAATCGTATTTTCATAACGGCGTCCAGTTTCACTCAGTCCTGATTGACTCGCTGATACCGAAGTTGCAAACGCTTAGCAAGGTATGTAAAGGCGGTTTGCACGTTCCTTTTGCTGTATAAAAAGACATTATGGGTTGCCGTTTAGATTCTCTTCTGTTGCAACGGTTTTCGTTTTTTCTCTAGCTCACTGCTGGTCATATACGACGGCGATCGGTACAATAACGAAGTGAGTGCCTTCGGTTTCTTGCTTGTTGGATACTCTAAGATCGATCATCTCTGTCGTAGGTAGCGGACATCGACATTCGCATGATCGATTTTGAACATTCCACTTTCCCTGGCTTTAAGGATGATCCATCATACGATGGCCCGGACACAGGCTACCTAAAGGGCATCGAAAGTCTCATCTCAGTAATGCGGCAGATTCAAAGGGACGCGTACGACGCGAAGTAAAACCTGCATTACAGAAGCCGTCTCGCACCGAATCACCCTCACACGTTTTGTCACACATGCCATCGCGTTCTAGCGTCTGCTCCAGCGGCGTCTGGTAGCACGCTCCGCATGAAGAGGCTTTACCGTATGCCAGTTTGGTTACTTCGGATGTGGCTTTTATTACTGCGAAGCCGCTGTCTCATTTCACCGGCCTAATCGGCAGATATTAGCGGCAGTCTGCTTTATTTACTTTCATTAGGAAACGTTTACACAATGGTGTTTAAATCATAATTTCTGTTATATTTTCTTTCATTGCGTATCTCTATGTCAAGCTTTTACCGTTTCTGTGCATACTTCAGCGAGAAGGATAAACATTTTCTCATCTTTCCATGTATACGGTTTTATGCGCACAGTTCACTGGTTGACGAATCTGTTTATCGTCCAAAGATTGCTTACCTATTGCGAATTATAGCATTTTTGTCGGAACGCAAAATGCGGCTTTTTCGAACGAAATGCATCGATTATATTCTATTATTAATGAAAGTAAACGATGTGCGTGGTCATGACAAGGTTGTGGCATTTATTCAGGTTTGGCCTTGTAACCAAGACTAAAACATAAAACTGCGATCTGTTTCTGCGTTGTTCGTGATTTTTTTGCCGCTTCGAACGTGCACGCCTTCTTTTACTCATTAAACAAACGTTCAGACACCCCGCAAAGGGAATAATTTTTTCGCGACGAAATGGCCCTTTTGGCACGAGCATGATTTGCTCAAAGAAATGTTAGTTAATGCATTCATTAGCGATTAATTCTAGATCGTACTAGATTTCTATTGAAACTACGTTTGAAACTGATGAATAGTGATGAAACGCAGTCGTTGCAGGCCTTCCAATGTAGCATTCCCAATACGTTACTCTTACTGGTGGGGTACGTTCACAATATAAAATACCCACAGGCAACAGAGGTCCTGGCGGTGGGTTGGTTTACGCATGTGCAGAGGTATTTTGTACATGCAGAGCATGATCGCAAAGAAAAGCTTGGTAAGTCCCTAACGATTATACGCATAAAGCAGCTAACTCATGATGTCATTATCGGCATGTTACAGAGTTTCGACTGTGTCGAAAATTTTAAGAACCAGGGAGATAAGGATTCCGCACTTCGATGCTCCTTAACTTCCATTTGCAAGCAAGTAAATCTTCAGGTGAAGCATTTAAACAATTTCGGAAAATACTGCTGGTTCGTGCCGTCTCACGTCTACGTCTCACAATGCAAGGAAGTTTATTTGTTTGTTATGCTGGGCAGTGTGGTTGTACTCTGTTTATGGTCGCTTAACGTCAGATATTTTGTGACTTTAAACACGTTACACTTACTGTTTTTGAATATATACATTCATATATAACGGATTGTCGTCTTCTTCGTGCTTGCATGATTCAAACATCTTAAACAAACTTAAAATTGTTTTTTCTATGGCAATATATTTCTCTTCTAAAGGAAATTAAGCGATGATATACGTACTGACTTTAAGTTAAACCGTGTAAACCTCGTTCCATTTAAACAGACTTTTAACTGTTTAACAGCTTAACAGGTACTGAGGGAGTGCGTAACCACTTCAGTCTCTGTGCAAGCTCTGCAATGATCTCATATCTCAGTGTGAAAGATTACCTGTGAAGTAGGTCAAGCGTGATGTAACTGCTCCTATTGGGACGACGAGCCTTAACTGGTACCGGTATGGTGGTATAGGTTAACGTGTGCTATAGCTTTAACATCGTTATTTCGGTATGAGACTCCAGATGAGAAAGTAGGTCTACTCGCATGCGCAGACGACATTAATTGCATTGGCAAGGATGTCGCCAACCCAGAGGGGATACGCGACCATCTCAACAAGGCAGCGAGCAGCTTCGGACTAACGCTTAATCCCCTGAAATGTAAAGCCCTTAAATCTAAATTTAAAAAAGATTTTAATGCACTTCATCTACTACTCCTATGCCCACTAACCAAATTTGAGGCATTTCCATACCCTGCTTTAAAAATAGGCGCACATAATATCGACGCAGACATCCCATTATTGCAAGGCACATTACTGCATACTGAGTGTATTTTTAAACGCATACTGACTGGTAGAAGTTGAATGCTTATAAGGCATTTACCCACTACCAACTTACGTATGCACTCAGGAACATGCACTGGGATAACACTGAGAATTCTCTGGTTCAACGTTAAGGAGCTCACCAGACAAGGTATATATGTCCTGCCCCGAGCATCAAGTCAATGGCACTATGGGAACGCGTAGGTATTCCCACTGCCTGCATGACTATCCCGTCTTGCGGATAGTCTGGCACTTCGTCGGCTGAGGTCTAGCTCCAGAAAGTGGTATCGGTCGCGACGAATGTGTTAAAGGCCTGTATTTCTCACTGCCTGCGCATCCCACTGTAAGACCAGGAGCGCACCTCTTCCTATCAAAACTGCACGGATGAGGCACAGAACCCTGAGGAAGTAGTTTATAATATATGGATAGACGCGCTTCAGCAAGTAAAGTTACTGAAAAGTACAGGGTGCGACCATTTCTTAGTCTTCATCTAACATCGCCGCTTCTCCTTTCGGGTCGCGGAGGCAGACGCGTCTGACAGCTTCCAACGTTCCCGATCCTGTGCCAGAGTCTGAGCTTCGGCAAAGGACAAATGCAGTCTGGAACAGAT